CCCCCGCCCCCGGTCCGCCTGCAGAGCTGCCCGGAGACTAGACCCCGTCACTGAGCTCCCCGCTGCCCCCGGGGCCGAGGTCGCCCGCCCGGTTCCTGGTCCCTCCCTCGACCTCCCAAGACACCAGCTGCTTGCGTCCTGCATCGCCCCGGGGAGTCGGGGGCAGACCTGAGACCCAGCCCTGAGTGCCGGGGCGGCGGGGGTGGGGAGGGGGCTTTCGCGCGCGCCGTGGGGCCCCGGGCGCATCACCTCGCAAAGCTTCTTGGAGTCGCGAGGGTTAAGTGAGAAAACGGGTAGAGGACTCGGCACCGGGCCTGGCGCGCACTGAACGTTTACTCAGCGCTCACACTGCTCGCCTCACCTTCGCCCCCTGGTGGGGGCGCCCAGCTTCGGGGTCGGGTGTTCCCCGCGGGGTTCCGGCGCCGCGCCCAGACGGACCCCCGGCTGAGCTTGGCCTGCCGGCCGCGGCATCCGTGCGCCCACCGCCCCGCCCCTCCCCCCACCCCGGAATGAGCGCCAGCGCGCGCAGGGCACTTGTCATCTGTCCCGTGCGCAGGCTCGTCACGCGTGGCGCGGCCAGAGTGTGCTTGCCAGCTCCAGCGACGCAACCCTTTGTTTACTTCCAGTTTCCAGGTGGGGAAGTTGGGGCTTACGGAGAATTTAAGGAACTTATTCCAAATGGCTCCACTAGTCCACAGAGGCTGGGGCTCAAGGGCTTTGCAGGCAGATGGGTTTCCTGCTGGGCCGTTGTGTCCCTTCAAGACGCTTCTCTTGGGGTTACTCCTCTGGAAACGAAGAGAACTGTGCAAGTCATTAGTTTTTAGGCTGTCCTCTGGGGACCCCCTGGCGCTCCCCCGTCCTTAATTAACCAAAGCCACCCCACTTGTGTGTAGGAGCCAGTCTGAAGGAAGGAGGCTGAAGCCCGCTGAACCCCATGAGCCACACGAGCCCTTCTTGCTCCCAGGCCCGGTGACCCCACAGCCACACCCGGTGCAGCCCGAATGCCTGTTACCATAATGCCTCCACCAGCCTCACTCGCCCCCGGAGAGCCACACCTTTCCCCACCGGAATGACAGGATGGGGCAAAGGTCTGGGTTGCTGGGGGGTGGGGGGCCACCCCCCCGGGCACTCCTGCGAGCCAGCCCCAGAGCCCCTCTCTCCTCAGCAAAGACCAGCTCCAGCTGCCACAGCGCCCCACGCAGACCCCACTGGCGGGCAGGCAGCAGGTCGAAGCTAATGGACGGTGCTTTTCTGACCGGGTTTTGAATGCTGGTTCTTCATATTCCCAACTAGAACCAAGACATCCCGTCATCCTCCTGCCCGCTTTATGAAGAGTAGCCGTACACATGCCAGGATCTCGGTACCGTATCAGGCGCACAGTCTCCCCGGCACAGTGTGCCAAGCCCTGCGGACAGTGGTGACTTTCGCCAGCTCAGCAGGTGTGGGAGGAGGGCATCGTGGGTCCCATTCTCCAGGGGAGCTAGGCTCCGGGAGGCCGGGTGGCCTGTCCGAGAAAAGATCCCGCAGGCACCAGCCTGACTCCACAACTCCTGTTCCTTCTGCTGCCCGGTCCTGTCGTCCTGACGCCACAGGAATGGCATCTGTCTCCCCTCCGTATTTCCCTCTCCACGGCTGTTCCCTCGCTGTTCCCTCGGGCATTCTGCATCCCTCCCCGCCTCCCCCCAGTAAGCTGCAACAGTGAATTCTGACAGCAAGCTGCGGGGTTAACTCACCGCCTGGGAGACGCATTGAAACCACACATTCTTCTTTGTTTCTCTGTCATGTTTCAGCCGACTCTAGTTCAATTCCTTAAGAGGTTCCCCACATCCACTTCTAGCTTTGTAGCTATCTTATTTTTCTAGGGGAGAAACGCTGGTAAAATGGTTACACTGCCATCAACTTAAGACACGTCCTTAGCATGCGTTAGATTCGTTGACCTTATTATTGGTATTTGTCGAAATATGGGTCCTTGTTGTAGTACGTCTAGAAGGGACATCGCAGTATTGCTTTCAACTGATCTGACCTCAGTAGTAACTCTGTTCTCAGCTACAAAGTTAGTGTGCTGTCTGATTACAGAAAGTGATGTGTGTTCAGTGAAGGCATTTGGATGATATAGAAAAGCATGAAGAGGAACCCAGTAATCCCACCATCCTGAGATACCCAGTTAGCAGATTTCAGTATTGTTTTCCAATGTGTGTATCTATGGGTTCACACGCTATATACTGCTTTGTATTTGTTTTATTTTTTTATAGTTTCAGCTGTATATGACTGTACACTCAATTTCAGAAATAATGAAAATCCAACACTGTTGGGGGTCCTAAACGGGAAGAAATATCATGCAGATTTATACGTCAGGTAAGTGGGTTCCATTTTCTTTCCAAAAAAGAGAGCGCCCATCAAAGTAAATAAATCCCAAATGGCCGGCCAACCTCTTTCCGGAGAAATCTGTTTAATATTTTCTTGTCTGTAATCTGTACTGAAACGGACCCATTCACTACCCGTATTAGTATTAGAAACTCAAGACACAGGCCACTCATGGGAATAATCAGGGGAGGCCTCGTTTCTTCTCAGCTACTTTCTGATTCTCTCTGACCAGTTCATACTCATCACAGAGCTCAGGCTGGCCAGACGGAAGCCTAGTCATTTTATAGTCATTTTGAGATTGAGTATGAAGAGATTATTTCATTGACCCCTTTTCCTGGAGGATGTGTCTGCTGCACACAGATGTCCGCAGATAAGAGGGTGTGTAATTTATAAGGAGGTCTAGAAACAAATGGAGACCATTTTAGCAGTATCTTACTTATGTGTTAGATTCCAAGCTATGACGATTTTATTGAAAACACTTCACAAGATTTTAGACAAGCTAGTTCTCTTTGCCCATTTATCAACTGACAGAATGGATCTCACCCTGGTCGTCTGCGATGTCGAGATTAATGGGAAACAGTTGAAAGACACTGCAGATGGTAAAACACAACGGTGCGCCCACATGAAACCCCATGTGACCAGGTTGAGGGATCACGCTGGTTTCTCAGGCAGTAGGTGGTCTGCCCAGAAGGCGAACCAAGGTGCTCAGACATGCCCACTGCTGGAGAGCTAGCCAAGTGTTCTATAGCATTCTGATTATTTTTTTAAAGACCTTACAGATGCTGAAGTCAACACAGGATGCAAATTCGGTGGCTGATCGTCACCACGAGGCTTCGAGAAAAAGCGCAAACCTTCCAGGACTGACAGCCTGGATTAAATAGCTTTCTAGCTGGAAATGACTTCGGCTCCCCCTTACAAAGAGGAGGGAGCATCATACTACTGTTTTCTAAGGCCACAGCCAACAGTCTGGCTTATCACTCAGTTTAAGGCAGACGAGGGTAGGAAACGCAACCTTCCCAAGGGAGGCCTCCTTCCAGAAGTAAAGGAGGCTTTGTCCCCAACTCTATCACCTAGCAGAAGCGCCACTCAGTGGTCAGCTGGGCCCCTGGTATTTGGGGAAACTTCGCCCACTATGCAAGATTATTGCACCTCTACTAGGCCACCTCTCGGGTAACTGCACCTCTCTGGAGCACATGTAGGGATGACGGTTGTAAATGCGATACCCAGCAGGCCCACAGAAGTTGGTACACCCTCACGGCTTCCGAGGAAGACCGTGCCACTCCTCGTGGCGCAGGGGCCCTCTCAAAATGAGAGAGGCTTTCTTGTGTTTTACCGCAATACAAAGTGTTCAAAAAGCAAGGTGGAGAATGTCAAATAAGTTACTGAAAAGAGCAAAATTGCCTTAAACTCCTACTATTCGAATAAATAGTATGCAGGCTTTCTAACCTTTTTCAAGAAACACATTGAGAGATCCGGTTTCCAAACCAGGGTGAGCCAGTAAGAGCGCAGGAGTAGGGTATTGGAGTATTTGCAGGGGCCTACCGGGTGATTTCTCACCCTGAACAATACTGCCTCTGTTACAAGACGAAATCGCACGTTCTCGTAACGGGCTATAGTGTGACGGGTAAGTTCTAAAGATGTATCTTCGTGCGAAGACAGTCCAAAGCCGGAGAGAGGACCCCCACCCATGGCAGTCGTGAGGGATGTAGAATTTTACATGGATAAAATCAGGTGTGAATAAATACGGCTGGGCATCACAAAAGCCAGCAACCTGGGAACACACAGAAATGTATGTACAATAGGAGACATGGTCTAGTGACTCCCCCTTGCTCACTGGGGCTGTTGGCAAGTGGCTGAGCCCCCAGCCCATGCCAGCACCAGCCCAGAGCCACCCTGGGATCTCCTCCACCTCTGGTGAGCCAAGAGCCCCGGGGCCTGGCCAGGATCCCCTGTCTCTCCCATCCTGCGGGGAACAGGAGTTGCCCAATATACAGGTCCTTCTGTTTGTCGAAATCCTTACATCAGGATCCACCTCTAACCTGTCCAAGAGGTCAAAGGAATCATTTGATGGGAGACACTTCACCACCGTATTTAGTCATTACCTCGCTGGCAGAAGTATTAGCAGATTACCACCTACACGTAGATTCTCTGCATATACATTGGATTCTAACATGTGGGAACCGAGGCAGTTCTGCCCTCTCTTGGAGAAGCAAACAGCCGGTCTTGGGAGCCTTTCCATGAGGTAGGGAGGGAGGACGGAGAGAGGCAGGTGTCTGAGTCCCTGAACCTGCCGTTGGCCACTCCTTCGTGGACTATGATTACAACTGGGCCTGTATCAATTGAATTGCGCTCCTCACAGCCACGTGATCAGGTTAGCTAAACAGAAGCCCAGAGAGGTGGAGCACTGTTACTCTGAAACCGTGGTGGGGGCATCTGGCGTCGGCCTCCCCGCTGCTAGCTGCTCTCTGCTTTGCAGGCGGATTCCTTTAGAAGAAGTCCCAGAAGACGAGGATGAGTGTTCAGCCTGGCTCCACAAACTCTACCAGGAGAAGGTCAGTGCCGCGGGTGCTTCTGTGGGACCCAACGACCCCCGTTTCGAGTTGCGGCTGTGGGCGCGCCGTGGGGGCCTCTGGGAGCTGACGGTGGCGAGACCCCACTGCCTAGTTAGCAGCCGCCCTGGGGCTGACGCTCTGTTCAACAGTGGGGAAAAGAATATAGCAAAATATGTGTCAAAGGGGCTTCACAGGAAGAATGATGGGTGTAGTGGACAGAAGAGGAAGTGACGGCCCCAACAGCCGGTGTCTGGAACTCGGGGGTGGAATGTTCTTTCAGTAACGCATACGATCCCGCTGGCTTCCAGACCTGCAGCGTGGCTGCCCGTGTGGTCTCAAAACCACCAGCATCGGCATTGCAAGGACCCACTTTGCTGGTCTGATCTGGTGCAGTGCCCCCCTGCCTCCTGTCTGTTCCAGCCCCTCAGCTCCCCCCGCGTCCCCGTCACCACCACACACACCGTCTTTGCTTCCTCTGGGCAGGACCTTACCTTCCGTTGGCTTCTCTCTTCAAAGACCTGCTCAGGGCAGAGGCAGGCTAATTATCATTGTCCCAACTGCCTGATCTTATGAAGGAGAAAAGGCTAGCTTCCACCTATGAGGAAGGCGTCCTTATGACCAAGCCTCACTGCCCATAAAGACTTATTTCTGATTCATCGTACGTTTTAAGGGCAAACCAGCTTATTACCTAGAATCGAGCTCAATAAGCAGGATACTGATTTCCTGTTGCCAAACTCCATAAATACAGACTGCCTGCCTTTTTAATGTGCTGTCTTCCCCCCCCTGCCCCATCCCTCTAGAGATAATTGCCCAGAACTCTATGGGCTGTCCCCTACAGTGGGGTAGGAATTTTAATCCTGCCTTTGCCAGTGTGCTTTGGCCCCAAAGCCTTCCCAGTTACTACCATCAGATTAAGTAGAGGCTCCATTTTGGGGCTCAAGATCCTCATACTGTCTTAGCTAGAAGTCGCTCCTGTGTTCCCAAGGAAGTGATTTTCCGATGGTGCCTTTAAAAGCGCATTCACGGAACTTGCTTCGTGTCTTTTCTGGACGAGTAATAGGGATGGGCATCCAGTTTCCTCTTACAAATAGTCAACAGTAAACACCTGTCACAGAGTGTGAGCCATGCATCTTCCTCAGCCTCAGAGATTTATGCAGTGGGTCTGAGGAGCCCTGGAAACGTGTACTTCTAGAAGGCCACCTCTGACACGCCCTTGGAAACGCACTGCAGATGCTTTTTAGCAAGATTCCCAGTTATCACGCTTCCGTGCTGCCACGGGCCCAGGCCCGACAGAAGCACACAAACAATACAAACTCTTTTCCTCTGGTTTCATGCACGAGGCAGCATTTTCCTTGTGCGGTTTTCTGGTTTAGTCATTTAGGCAGTATAAAAAAATGTCGCTATTAGCAAGAAGAAAAACGTGCTAAGCAAAGGCCTAAGAAATGAATCGCTTTGTAAAGAACCACACAAATCTAACAAGCGCAGGACCCAAAACTCACCAAAGCAAAGGAGGTTTTTCTCCTTCGGCCCTTTCTCTCCTGTGTTCGGGCGCGAGAGCCGCGGCCGTCGTGTGAACCGAGCCACTTGGGTGTTTGGTGCAGAGGCACCTTTCCTTCTTGCCGACCTCTCTCGGGAAGGTTTTCCCTAAACTACGTATGCATTAGAAATGATAGCGTTCAGTTTGGAGAGGATTCTTGAAACGATCATCTGGCTCCGAGCTCTTAGGCTAGTGATGAGGGTATTAAGGTCCAGGGAATGACATCATTTGTCCATCTTCGCAGCTCACTAATAAAGCCGGGTTCCCGAGGCCAAGTTCTTCCTCTCTATGGAGGGCTGTGTCTGCCGGTGAGCAGACCTTTGAGGCGGGCCTTCTCCCTGGAGGGAACACCGCTGGGCAGTAGGTGCAAGGGTCAGCGGTGCCTCCAAGACGAGATGTGACCGGATGGCAGGGAACGATGGCATCCTTTCATTTCTGTCAGCCCTGTTTCCTCAGGAGCCTAGCTGGGTCTGGGGCTTTCTTTACGTACCAGAAATCTCGGGGCCCCACCACGCTTGTCAGAGTGGGGCTCTGTTTTAATCGTCATCTTTCAGATGTATGGTGTTGAAAGACAATTCTGTTGACTTTGAGCTTGGGACTTTAAGGCAGTAATTCTCAGGCTTTTGATGTCACAGACAAGTAAAGTGGCTGTCAGTGTGGGACAGGGTGGTGGCAGCCACACAGGGATGTGCTGACACTTTCTTCTGCTCCAACAGAGACACAAAAGGAAACCCACTAGGGACGCCTGGGTGGCTTAGTCGGTTAAGTGTCCAACTCTTGATTTTGGCTCAAGCCATGATCTCATGGTTTGTGGGTTTGAGCCCCGCGTCGGGCTCAGGGCCGATGGTGCAGATGGAGCCTGCTTGGGATTCTGTCTCCCCCTTCCCTCTCAAAATAGATGGATAGATAGATGATAGATAGATAGAAACCCATTAGCTACGACTGCCATTTTAACACCCTAAAATAGGAAGAGCATCATCTCTGAAGCCCGGGCCATCCTTTAAGTGGAACAAATTTGGCATTTCAGAAATGCACAATGTTGATCACTTGTCAGCCTTCAGGACTGCTGCCGGCTGCAGGGTGTGGGCTTTGAGAAACCAGGCACGCCCTCAGGTGACCTCTTTGGGGACAACAGCAGCTCCCAAATCACCTTCCCCGGAGCCATGATGGTTCCTCTGTCATGTGGCTTAAACAAATTCTAACTTTTCGTTTCTTTTTAAAA